TGTCCGCACAAATGAACAGACTAAAATACTAATTTAAATGGTGTTTTAATCATAAAAAAATTAAAATGAAATTCTATGGCATCATTTTAACCTTTCATATAAACAAATGTTATACATTTCAGTAGATTTATAGCTGATAATTGAAAACCTTTTGTCTAACAATTTGTATGTCAGGGGGGCACAACTGCAAACATGGCTCTCTTATTATGGTAATAGCAGTGTGCATGATAATACATTGTCCAGAGGAGCCATAATGATCCTTGTAGATCTCTATCAAATACTGGTAATTGCTTTAAAGTTATGGGTAGGTTGGTACACTTTCAGGTGAATTTAAACATTTAGAAATGTTCACAACTGAAACTTGTTCAAATACATTGTTCATGACACAAAAATATACATTACATCAGTTTTGAAAAGATTTAAAAAAACATTTCTTTGTTTATTTGTCAATGACCTATAGAGGTCATTGACAAATAAACAAATACATGTTTTTTTTAAATCTTTTCAAAACTGATGTAATTTGTTTATTTGTCAATGACATATATACACTTTTGCACTGAATTAGCACAATGGGATTTATAAATGTCTAATAAACTGCACATCAAGCATGTTGTCTGGCCTTTCCTCTGTGTTGTCAGACACAGAAAATATGCTCAAGTCAGGAGCAATCTAAATAGAACTAAACATTTTTTGTGCTAATCATACTTAGGTGTATTTGCACTTTTTCCACAAAGACCAACACTGGGAAGTTTAATGTTTATTAAAAATACTGAGCAAGTAAAGTCTTGCAAAATCCAAGGAGCTGAGATTGATGAGGGTACAGCGTCAGTGAAGGAGTCTTCAGGATCCACCGAATCCTCTTTGTGCTTCTTGTGTTGAAAGAGATAAAGGAAACAAAAACGGGATAAATTATATATAGGAGTTAGTATATAATACAGTTATGGTATTTATAATACCCCATTTAGCCTAGTGTGATTTGATCTAGAACACGGCTTGCTGCCGTTTTAAGCATGTTTTTTAATCTTACTTATAAACTTCCATCTCCCTTTCCCATCAATACAAATCAGCTGAGCTAAATCATAATATAGAAAGGTAATAGTCAACAGAAACACAATGAATAAAAAACGCCAACCATACGTTTTTCCTTACTCAAATATGAAATCTAAAATAAGGATTTTTCCCCGTTATTGCACATTTAATATGGACTGAAACCGATATTCTCATTTTATCAATTACAACTATCACACTCCCCAATGTTATATTTAACCTCTGTTTAGAAGTATTTCCCTCTTATTATACAACTAAGGATAAACATGCATTAATAGAACGGGTTTAAACATTAATATGCTGTTCGTGGTTTGTTATGCGGTACTAACTTTATCCAATGACTTTTTAAAATACCTGCAAATCAAATCTTCTGTTCTGACAAAAATAAACATCAGAGACACAAATTTAGAACTTCCACCGGCAATATCAGACTTGGTCAACATTTCCTCCCCAAAGAAACTCCTCTCTAAAATATACAAAATGATTTCAAACCACCAAGGCAGGCAAGACAGGCGAGAAGTGGTTTCAACGGGACAGCATCTCTGTCCCAATTTGAGACACTCTCGCACTGTACTCCCTCTTTTAATGCACCTTAGACATTGCACATAACACACACAAAAAATAATAATAATAATAATTAGGGAAAGATAGGGACTGATGAGATGTGGGGGAAGGTTCTCTTATTTCATCTTTTACTTTGTGCAGGATTGACAATGGCAATTGTTACATAGGAGGAAGGATGGAAATAAAAATCGACCAACACAATATTGGCAGTATGGTGGTAGTGGGGAGTGGGGTGGTGATGGTAATGACAATGGTAATAGATAATAAATGGTTACTCTGTTTACGCATACACACACATACACATACACATACCCACACGCACACCCGCTCACATACACACTTAGATCAAACACTTAAATCACTTTTATGTCACTTCTGGAATTATGGATTTACAAGATTGCTCACTGCTGCACTATGTTGGTTTGTATGTATGTTTGACTGTTAAATAAAAAAATAAAAAAAAAGGAGTAACTGAGAAGAAAGTTCAAAATCGAAAAAAAAAAAATGTAATATGCTGTTCGTGGTTTGTTATGCGGTACTAACTTTATCCAATGACCTTTATTTTACCTGATAACGTCCCCTAAAACTACTAATTTAGAGAGCAATAATCAACTAGCATGCTTTAATACAGTTAAAGTTACAAGTTAATTTGATTCAGATGTACTGATAATATACAATCTTATTCTTTAAACGTCTTACCTTTTAAAAGTGCATCACAAACGGTCTGTTCTGCTGTAACTCTACCGCGCTGCTGCTACTTCCCTTCTGTCTATGCTGTCTATGCTACTTCCGGGAACTATTAAGAGGCTCCGCGAACCGCCATTGCTGTAAAAAAAACGTTCCATTGGAGTCAATGGAGTTGTCGCAACTCTCACTCTATATGGCTCTGCAGACACCCAAACCGTCAAACCTACGTCATCAGGGAAGGTCCTCCAACGCAGAGGGGAGGGGAAATTTCAGATTTTGATTAAAGATTATGAAGCCAAAAAATGTTTTGGTGTGGATTGACTTGCATGGATAAATTGTTCACCACAAAACTATAAATTTAGGCAAACAAAATAAGTATGGTCAATTTTGAATTAATGGGGACTTTAATTAAGAATTATATCTTATTCCATTAGTGAGAGAAATTAACTTCTCCATTAAGAGGCCATTTTTGCCCCCTTAAGTTCATTTGCGAGGCACATTTTTTCTAACCTTTTAAAAGTTGTCTTCTTTTATAGCAATCAAATTCTTAAATTTAGGCTGTTACCAATCAAATGAAATCAGAATCAGCAAAATCCCTTTTTACTGCGGAGGCGGCACAGTAGCTGCATCGGAAGTGGCATCATTGGTAATAATGTAACCTAAAAAATCACTGAAAAATCCCACCATAACAGACTGACAGTCTGTCTAGAACCCACACGCAAAGACGGGAGTGATAAGATAAAAAGTCCTAGTGCTAATGGTGAAATATGAGCTCAATTGCAACGCCTCTCGTCCAATCAGATTTGAAGAATGAAATGAACTTTTGTGAGTGTATACCTCACTGAGTTCAGCTTGTGCTCCTAATACACTAATTACATGCTCAAGTTTCGTAAGCAAACCTTAATCACACGCTTAAAGCTTGGCTGATTTTCTCATGAAAGCAGTGGGAGCGGTCCTACTTTGATGTACATGGAGAGGAAGCTTTATAATGTGTTTACTTTTATGAATCATTAGGACATTGTTTTCATTAGACATTTCTTTCAGAGTGCAACAAAGAGCCTGTCAAATGCATTGCAAGAACGCACATTTTCTAATATAAAGTAATGTTTTGTTTAAATTTCAAATTTTCAGATGTCAAAAAGTACAAAATATCAAAGTAAGGTGTACAATTTAGTACAGTGAGTAAATCAAATAGGGAACAGAATACTTTGTATTGCATGGCACAGTACGTGTAAGACCACATTATATAATATCAAAAGAAACCAAATGCTGTGGATCAATGGAATGTATTTGATCATAAAGTCAACTGAATTAGGCTATTATCAAGTAAGAAATGTGGAACAAACCTGTTAAGTTCAGTTCAATTAAATCATTTCCTGTAAAATATAATAGTTTTATTTTTTACCATACAGTCATACCAAGAACACATGCAAAGAATGCAAGAGAAAACAGACATCCATTAGGTTTTAATGAGTACTTTTAAGAGAAAGGACAACATCTATTGTTACCATATGAAAGTGAAAACAGGATGTAAACAGCCAGGTCTGGTTTCTCCTGCGTTGCCAAGAGCCCGGCAGCCACATCTGTTTGTTTTAGTGGGGAATCTCTGGGTTGAGGTGTTTAGGAGCCTCTGTTGACCACATGCTTTGTGAATAAAAATGCATGCATTTTACTGAGAAATTATGAAAAGAATCATGAAACACACACAAAAAAAACACAATCATTTGAATTAACATACAGAAAAATATTATTATATTAAGAATCATTTGCAGTAGTGTGCCTGTGTAGGTTTATATGCAGTGCATCTGCCAAATCAAATATAAATATTACATGAAAGGGCATAATGAAGACATAAGCATATATACATATAAACATATAATTCACAGTTACTGTACATAAGTTGCATTTGAGATGTGTGCATGGAAGTCATATGTGTTTGGGAGCTGCTTCTAACTAACCCCAGAAGCTTTAAATGATCCCACAGCAGGTTATGGCTGGCAGATGAAAACAAACACATGTCAGTTGTAATTAAAGATGTCGGTTGTAATTACAGATGCTTTAGCATAGAATGAACCCTGTACTAACGTGTGAAAGGGCTCAAACGGTGATTTATTCTCATTGATGTGTTTCTAGAACACTGTTAACTATATACATTTATAATTTACATATTTTTTTACAAGGGAACAGAATTGGGAGACAAATATATCAGTGAAAAAATATTCTACATTTTCAGTTTCATCTGCTTTAATAGATTGGGATGAATATGTATACATTACCAGATTGGAGACTTTATGAACTTCAGTTTAATATTTGTGAGAATTAATGTGATTTCCAATTATTCATTTAAAGAAATTCATGTAAAACCTAAACAACAATAATAACTAATGAGGACGGTGATGATTTAAATCCCCCTTTGAAACTGTGTCCATCAAACACCATGATTAAGCTATGCTCTCTACATGTACCTGTCTAACATGGAGCAGATTTTTAAATTCTTTAAAAATCGTACATGTAAAAGTATCATGGGAACTCTATGGGTTAACTGAGGCTTGGAGAAACCTGTTGCCAATTAAGTGTGTGGAATGCCACATATAGACATTTCCTCAGAACTTCCACCACAGGTTGCAGAGCACATGTTCCCTTCCAGACAGAAAATATTACTGCTTTTAATCTTTAAAATGTTTGTTTTAATCAGATTTTTTGCTTTCACAGTTTGGAAACAATTGTCGAAACTCACCATGTGTTTGACTCCGTTCTGATTCATTCTCTGGATTACAAGGGACCCAAGTTTAAGTGTCTTTTAGCATTTTCCTTTACACAGTGCACGAGTTGCGATGGAAACTCAAAGGTTTTTATTTCTCATTTGTCTGATGATGAGTGGAATCTGCACAGGAGTGCACTGCCAGAGGTCTCCATCCAGATCAGCAGATCACCAGAGCAGATATTCAGTTTATGCTCCAAGACGCCCATCGGTTCCCTACACAGTAATACATCCGCAGAACAGCAGAAGTGGCAGTCCGAAAGAAAACCCGAGGACCATCACGGCTGAGGTGTTCACCCCACAGGGATGCACGGGAAGAGGTTGCCATGGCTCGCCAAGACCAACAAATAATGATACTAAAGAGTGCAAAGGAATCGGTTGTAAACTCCCTGCAAGAATGCGACAAGATCCCAAACAGCATTCCTGTGTTGGAGAAGCCTGCATCACAGGGTCAGATGTTGAAAGAACCAGACTGTCTTTTGTCCATATGCAGGACAGAGCCGAGCAAGTATTGGGGGAATTTCCGGAGTTGGGAACTCGAGGGGGGCCATCAACTGGAATTCAGTTAACATGCGACATTAAACCAGGTAAACAATGATAGAATGATTTATTTCAGGGTGCTGGGTATTATGATACCAGTCCTGTGTTTTCGTAATAGTGATATTACACTTGTTAAATTGCACACCATGCATTCATGGCCATGCAAAATTGATTACATGTTGGATTGTTGCCTACTTCCTCAGACAGTTTGTGGAAGCATGTCAATTCCGTGACAATGTTAAAGCATGCTTGAAATGTGACTCAATGTCATGTTTTTCCTACATTTTGACCAGGCACAAATGAGGTCCAATCTGAAGATGCATTGGTGTTGCATTTGCATTTGACAAAAGGTCAAGATAAACTGGTGGCCCAGCTGCAGGGACAGCAAGCTGAGGTTAAGCAAATTCAGAGCACACTGAGAGAACAGCAAAGTGCTCTATTAGCCCACCAAAGGGAAATACTGGACCAGCAACGGATTATGTTTGAAAAGATGGAGGAAGTCAAGACCCAATACAGTTTTCTTCTCGACAGCGTCAAACAGTTATCTGTACAAGGCCCGCAGGGAGTCACTGAGAGCCATTTGCATGGTCTCCAATCCCAGGTTAGACCCTATTCTCAGGAGGCCTTCACAATGCATAAGATGAACATGGATGCTAGTGTTACAGATGCTGACAGACCTCTACTTGGCTGTGGATCCTGCCGAGCAGATGAGTACTGCGACTTCAGTGCAGACCGACCACGTTGTGAGAAATGCACTGTCTGCCCTCCAGGATTCTTTCTGGTGGCTCAGTGTTCGATTCATGCCGACAGGATTTGCCAGGTATGTTGTTGTCAAGCCCTGATGGTGCAATCAAATTAAATTGATGTAGTTTATTCAAACAAATAAATGTGTAAACAACACTTGATGTCAAAGCTTTTAGTCAAATTATAAGTTAAACAACTTAAAAAATACAATATGACAACTAAAATTGTCCAATAGGACAGAGACGAATGCCTAGAGATGCCAAACATATGTAAAGAACGCAACCAGTGCCTCAACACACCAGGTAAGCTGCCTACCAGACTTCCAGATTTGTTTAAGATTAACTTCCTAAGAGATTAATCATAGTGCATTGTTTCAGGAGGATTCCGCTGCTCCGGCGTGTCGGAGAGGGAAGCAGCTGCTGGGATGTGTGGCCACTCTTATTTTTACAATTCTGAGATGGAAGAGTGTCAAGCCTGTACAGAATGCGATTCTCAGCCAATGACGTCCCCATGTTTGGCCACGAGTGATGCGGTGTGCGCCAACCCCTCTGAAAGCAGACTCTCTCTTTCCTGGTCTGGTAATGTTGACCTAGCCAAGGGTAGTGAGTTTCCTGATAAGCAACTTCATATCCGTGGCAATAGTGACGGAAGCCTTCTTTCCAGCACTGATGGGTGGATAGTGCTCCACCAGCATGGTCTTGTATGGGTCGACCATAACCTTGCTTTAAGACATGGCTGCCGCAGCTTTGTCCAAGCATGTTTGCGACTGAATGCCAGTGAAGGTGAAGGTCGGGATCTGAGTGGCATGCGTTTGGAGCAGCGGGAGGGGAAGTCTCTCCAGAGTGCCAGTGTGAGTGGAGCAGCTGCTGTGGAGCCAGGTCACATGCTCTACCTTTCTCTCAAGAGTGTCACCAACCAGTGTAGCCAAGACAATGAAGACGTGTACCTTCAGAGCAGCCTAATAGCACCATTCAGTCTGTTCTGGTTGTCCCATGACACAGGTGCAGTTGCTATGACTGCTCAGGCCGTTGCCTCTGCGCATTACCACACCAACTACCGTCCTGCCTTCCGTACCTCATCCATCTCCGACCCTTACATGGTCGGGCTGACCCATGACAATCGTGGGGTGCGCTTCAGGGAAAGTGGCACTGTGAAGTTCGTCCTTCAGCAAGCATTGTACTCAATGGGTCAAGCCTGCATCTCAGAGGGCTTCTACTTACTTGCATACGTGAACCACAACGGAAGCAGTGCTGAGCTGACCCGTGCATTCAAGCCTGGTGTTCATTACAGAGATACGTCTATATCTCTGTCGGCTGCCACCACTGTGGATTCTGGGGATATGCTCACCTTCGAGATCCTTGCACCCGCGCAGTGCAATGTGCGCTACTTTGGCGACGACTCTGGGATTAGCATGCTCAGTCTGGTGTGGATCCCTTCGGCTGTGTCCACTGCCCTGTCAGCCTCCGTGTCCAGGAAGAGTCTCCCCTCTGGTGCAGTGCGGAATAAGGCCTTGTTCTTCCATCAGACAACTCCAGCAGTTCCACAAGTTGCACTTGCTGGAACCAAAGATCACAGAGACTTCATCTTTCGGGAGGCAGGGACAGCAAGTGTGGCCTTAGATCTGCGGCTTATCCACTCATGCAGTTTAATCAAACTCACCTTGCTCCAACAGAGTGGGTCTCAGGGGGTTCAGCCAGCCCCTGTAGCTCAACAGATTAGTGGACACATGCCGGAGGGAAGTGTATGGGCAAGCGTGGGACTGAGGGGATCGTTCCAGGTGCGTAACGGCACTGTGATCTTCGCTACAGTGGACTGTGTGAGAGGGCGCATCAACCAAATCGCCCATGATTCAGGAAGTAGCATTTCTATCCTCTGGACAGCTGCATGATCATAGCATGATTCAGCTAGCATGAAGTTAAGCTGCCATGCTGATGTTTTTACTGTCTTTGTGCATTTAGCTGAGGTACATTTGGATGATGGTTTTATTTAGGCATCAATTAGTCGTTGGTTAAGCTTAATTTCTAAATTGTCTAACCTGTACAACCAAATAGTACAAAAAGAAAAGTTTACTTCAGGGTAGATTTCTGGGTTTTAAGTGGCATTGTGTCATCACGTATGATTTAAAAAAAAAAAGTTGAGAAAATATGATTAATTTACTCTTTCTTTTTTATTATTATTATTATTTACGGATCTTTGTGTGATAGGTTGTTGTATGGTTTCATTTTAAAATGTTTGCATCTACCAGTTCTGATCAGGTAATTTTCTTTTTATTATATTTGCACTTCATAGCATTCAACCATTTTATTATCTACGTATATTTCCTTAATTATTTGCTGTTTTCCTCACCTTAAATGAGGGGACTTCTTACAGCATGTTTTGTATCTTGCCTGTTTCTTTGAATAAAACTTTCAACTATATGTTGTTGTTATTTTATTTTTTACCAGAAAAAGGTGGTAAACATTTTCTGTTGGTAGTGAGAATCAAATGCAGGTGTCTGTGGCGCACAGAACCAGATGTCTTTAATTGTGCTCTTTAATATGCAGATTTAGTTCAAACAGGATAGAAGTAGAACTTTGGCCTCCTTTATTTTTTGTGTTGCTATTCTCAAAGCAGAAATTATGACATTTAATTTATCGCAAATAATAATACAACAAATACTTGTACAAATACACCTTAGTTTTTTAAGGTTTCTATAAAAAGGCCCTAAAAGAAACTGAAGCCAAACTAGGGCTGAAAATTGGTTTATAATCTTAGGAAGCATGTACGCAGACTTGCGGTTTTCCAAGACATTTGGTTAATATTAAAGCTTTACTGGGAGCAGGGGATGACGTTGATCTAAAGTTATTCCATAAGGAGAAGAGTGTGATAGACTGAGCCCTTCAAAGGGCTAACGTGAAGCACTGAATTATGGCTACTTTAACAGGGTCAGGTCAGTTCTCACAGGCGGCCCTCACCATACAGCCCCCTCTAAAATTTCACACAGATGGGAATTAATCAGTGGTTAAAAAACGAGAAAAAGATGCTTAACATAGAAAATCAGACATGCAAATATCTTTGTTTTGCTACAAATATCTACCTCACTTAGAACAACACTCAAATGTTAGCAACATAATGTATAGAGATTTAGATGCTAACCTGAGAAATGTGAATCAAGAGTCTATTTTTCTCTCTGTCAGGACAGATGAGATGAACTTTATGGCTTTCTCTCAGTGTAAGGGTTAAATGTCTGGTAAAGTGACAGTTCAGGTGTTCAGTGTTAGAGGATGCAATAATACTACTGTTGTGTTGAAGCCTGAACTTGACTTAAAGTGAAACACCTGGAAACATTTCAAGTTCATTGGGGGAGCTTATTTTTACACTATTCCTATACATTTTCTCAGTCAGTAAGACTGAGAGTAGTAGACAGAAAATATTATTACATTTTTTAGTTGATGTATCAGAGACCAGAGGCTTTTAAAGTGATGCTTCGTCCAAAACTAAACATTCTATCACAATTTACTCACTCTCATGCCATTCCAATCCTGCTGGATGTTCTCTCTTCTGTGTAACACAAAATAAAAATATATCTCTCCCAGAGACTTTTTTGACAGTCAATGGAGTATAGTATTGTTTGGAAGGAAAGTCATACAAGTTGGAAATTAGATGAAGCAGAATTTTTCATTTGTGAACTTACATAACATAATGAATATAATATTTACAGTGCATCCATACAAATGTTTTCCCATGGGGTCTCCAACTCAAACACTCAGCTAACCCAATTTGAAAAGAGCTACATTTGGTTACGCATTATTTTGATAGTCCACTTTAGACATTCTAACTTTGCAACTACATCAACTAACTCATTAATTTGCAACATGTCAACTAACTCTCATTAGAGTATTAGTGGACTGTTAGGGTTCAGCTTCGGGTTAGTAGAATAAGTTGACAAGTAGTTGCAAAGTTACTTATAGTCAGTAGAATTTTTGAAAAAGTGGACCGTCAAAATCAAGTGTTACTCTACATTTTACCCTAATTTTTTTACTTTCATTAATAATATTAACAAGCATTATAAACATTTATATTATGCAAAATATATAATTAATTAATGTTCATACCTTTTTAGCTTTGAATTTTATAAAAAATAATGTAGGCTATATTTTTTATATATGTCCACTGACTCCTATGCTATCTTTTGCTATAGTCTCAAAGAGTGCATAACGAAAAATGTAAATAAAAAAAAAGCTAAATTATTTCTAATTCAACATGCTTTATTGATAATGCACACTCAATATGGCAGGCAGAATTGGCATAGCCTATATGGTTTGATTATCCATTAATATTTCTTAGATAGTTAAAATTGTGTTTCGACGAGTTCTATTTATAATTTGACTAGTCAGAATGACAATTAAACATATCTGCAATTATAATTGCACTAGTGAGAAATTCAATTCGATATATCTCTAAATATGTTTTGACTAGTCTAAATACTATTCAAGATATCTGTAATGATGTCTTAGAAATCTTCAACTGACACGTCATACATACACAAATGTGATTAGACAAACTGTATCTGTAATTCAGTTTTTACTTGTCAAAATTATATTTTCAGATCTGAATTGTACCTGCTACTAATGGCGCTTTTCCACTGCATAGTACGGTACGGTTCGGTTCGGCTCGGCTCACTTGTGGTGCTTTTCCACTGCATGGTACGGTACGGTACGGCTCGCTTCGGCTCGCTTTAAATGGTACCTGGTATGGCAAGCCATTTTAACATTTAACTATGGCAAGCCATTTTGACATTTAACAGCTAGACTGGATATGTGTTGCAGATATCTGTAATTCAGTTTTGCCTAGTCAAAAAGAACATTTCAGATATCCGCAACTACATTCTTCCTATCCATAATTGTAATTTCAGATATCCACAAAGACATTCGTCCTAGGACAAATGACATCACTTTTGCCATTCATTTGTATGGGGTTTGTCATTACAGATATCTACAACTCAGTTGGAGATATCCACTATGTGAATTACGGATATCTGCAACTGAATTGTAGATATCTGTAATTCCAGTTTAAGATATCTACAATTTGATTATGACTAGTACTAACTCCAATTCAAGATATCTTTAATTCACCTCAATTCAAGATATCTACATGTTCCTTTTCAGATATCTTAAATTAAGTTTGGACTAGGCGAAAGTATGTTGTAGATATCTGTTACTGGAATTATGACTAGTCAAAATGGCATTGTAGATATCTCAAACTGGAGTTAGGGATAGTCATAATTTAATTGTAGATATCTATTATCAATTTATAGATATCTTAAAATGAATTTTGATTAGAGATATCTGAAATTTGAGATATCTGTAACTTTCATTCTGCCTAGTCAAAATGTAATTACAGATATCTTGAATTAGAGTTTTGACTAGGCGAAATGACGTTGCAGATATCTGTATGCAAATTAGGCTCGGCCGCATCCCACTTTAGGCGGGAGCAGAGCGTGTTGTTGTTCAAATCATCAAATCACATAGCACCTGTTAACTGTTCACTTTTAATTAGCACCATGTCGAGGGTGAAGGAGTTTTTAATCGTCTTTTTAATGCTGTTAGCTCATCATGGATTTTTACGGTGGGAAAAAAAAACTAATCTGAACTAAGAACTGTTTTTTCTCATCTAAGGAAGTTCAATCAATCAAATGTTATTGCACTTCCATGGCAAGAATTGCATGCATGTGAGCATCTTCATTAAAGTGAATTAGTGTGAATCTCTCTCAAGCATAAATCTTTCGTCAACAATAATCTACTAATTTTAAGCATGGTCATAAACATAGAAATGCATGGCAAACATTGCATGTTGCCAATATTTTTGAGAGACCCCCAGGCTAATGCAAATGAATACAATTTGTGTCATGCTGGAAACATATAAACATTTTCTGGTGTTTTTTTTTTGTTTTGTTTTTTCTCGATTAAAGCCAATGCAGCTTCTTTCTTCTTCCAAATAAGGAAATTAACCCACTTCTTTTTTGATTATGGTGGGGAGGGGAAATTACATCATGCACAATAATTTGCACTAGTTATAATGACGTTTGAGATATCTTTAACTTTCATTCTGCCTAGGCAAAACTGAATTACAGATATCTGCAATTGTCATTTAAGATGTGTGACGAGTTGAATGTCGTTTTCAATGATGTCATTGCAGATATCTGTAATTCAGTTTTGCCTAGTCAAAACTGAATTACAGATATCTCTATCTGTCGTTTCGACTAGTCACAATTACGTTACAGATATCTTGAATGACAATTCCAACTATCCAAAATGTAATTACGACTAGTCAGAAGAAGTTGTTGATATCTACAATGTTAATTCTGGATAGTCAAACTTAGCTTTTAAATGTTAAAATGGCTTGCCATAACCTGGTCTGTTGAGGTTCCAAGCGTACCGTACCGGTACTAAAATGTGACGTAAAAACACTGCAGATCACTGATTGGTCAGACTCGTTACTACCAGCGTCATTGGATTTGCGACACGAGACACCAAACCCGCTAGATTTAAATAACCAGTAGACAACAGCCAATGTGGTAGCATCTGTTTTTTACTTTCTTGGAAAAAAAAGAGATCAAAACTTTAAAAAAGAAATGGCTGAATCATGGTCAGTGGACGAGGTGCAGACGTTCCTCTCGTTGGTTGCCGAGGAGCGGATCCAGCGAGAGCTGGATGGGGCAAAACGGAATGAAAAAGTGTTCCAAGAAGTAGCTCAGCTCTTAGCCGCACACGGCTATCACCGGACCTACAAACAGTGTAGGGACAAATTAAAAAAACTTAAGAGTGACTATAGAATTGAATTGGCATATATGGCAAGCCGTTTTAGCATTAAACCCCCCTGGCTCTACTAGTAGTTTTGACCAGTCAAAATTCCAATTCCAGATCTCTATTCTGTAATATTAAGCGAATGATCGCCACACATAGTATACGTTCATCAAATACTTTTGCTTCAAACCTGCTAAATTCCAGCCTCAGCCCATTCAAAAATACCAGCTCGTTGGCAGAAACCTCTTAAAATTACAATAATTTAAAAACTACAAATTAAGATTTAAAGCTGCAGTCTGTAGTTTTTCCTCTTTGTCGCCATCTCTGTTCGAAATCTGCGATTGCAGTTATTCGCGGAATTATCTACTTTATACGTGGGTTGTGCCTCGGCACGGAACAGCGCGGATGAACCCAATGTTTTGAGGAGAATGTGCTGCTGTCAGTCGGTGTGGATACTGTCATTCGGAATCACAGATTCAAAGATGTAATACTCTTAAAATAGAATATATATAGCCTACATTTATATATTATCTTGAGCAATGTTATACTGTGATATTAAAGCTGTAGTCCGTAGTTTTTCCTCTTTGTGGGACAGCTCTCAGATTTCATCAAAAATCTTAATTTGTGTTCCGAAGATGAACGAAAGTCTTACGGGGTTGGAACATGAGGGTGAGTACCTACTGACAGAATTTTCATTTTTGGGTGAACTAACCCTTTAAATAACGAGTGTATCGATATCTGCATCTGATGCTTCAAAACATATTTATAAAGACGACTGTTGTTAAAGCTGCAGTCCGTAATTTTTTATGTGTTCAGAATTTACAAAATATATACAATGAGCGACGACATCATGAATGCCTTTTTTCAAACAGTGTTTTTGTCTTATCCTGAATCACTATGGTAAGCCTGTAATAAGCGTTTAGACTCGGACTACTGTTGTGAACTTTTTCTTCTAAAGTGTTTGAAAACTCAGAAGCGAAGACCAGGAGACTCGGTGTATCTTTTAAGCAGGGTTCTTTATTACTGTTGCATCGCTGTAGTCTGCTTCGTCCAAAAATCTTAGCCAAGTCTAACTAAGGGAATTTGACATTGTAGTTTATATACATTTCAAGAGGGAGGGATTAGATAGGGGTGGAGTCACTCTGAAACAAAGCATGCAAATGTAGTACAGAAGTCAGCTTGTTACCGGAAATTCCCCAGCCCTGATCTCATCAGCATAGCAGTTATTCAGAGCCTTGAGATGCTAATCCAATCAGCCTGACTAGATTGCTCAAACCTTAAATTATCATAGAGACAAAGGGTGGGAGTCTCAGTAGTCTGAGCCATTAAGAGTTTCAGTAATCTTATTCATTTAACTTACAATAGAGAGACCAGGACTGGCAGAATCTCTTGCTCATTTATACCTCAAATGCTAAATTCAGTCTACTAGACTTTCTCGGTTTATATACTATTGTATTGGAACCTAAAATAAACATTTAAATAAATTTGTAATCCTACACTACTTTACACCAGTCGGGTCAGCACCAGTGCCTGCGTGACTCGTAGTAGTAGTAGTAGTAGTAGTAGTAGTAGTAGTAGCCTTTATTGTCACTAGTCACAAGTACCAGCGAAATTAGCCATCAACCTGTCCATACAGACATACATACAATATGACAAGGGGGTAGACAGGACAGGAAGACAGAGCATTGAGGAAGAAAATACAGCATAACATGAGGAGAGGTGAGGAGAAAAAAAGGCAACCCCCAGACTATGCTCCTGTGAGGAGTACAGTTTGGGAACAGTAAAAAACACCTCAGCAACATTAGCACAATCAGTACACTCTACAACATGAACACACAAGACTTGCAACAGGGGAGGGGGAGGGGAGTGGGGGATGGAGGTAACCCAGCACAGGCAGGACAAACAGAGAGAAGTAGCTCCGGCAACAATGACTACGTTTACATGCAGCCAATAACCCGTTCAAAACCGGGATATTAGCAATAACCCGGTCGCGAACGGCCATGTAAACACCGGCAAAAACCCGAATATGCTCATATCCCAGATTTAAAAAACCGGGATATTATACCTGGGGTACCCCTTTTCTAACCCGAATTTTTGGTCATGTAAACGCGCATCAGCATATCCCCATAGTGATTTGTGTTCTGCGCATGTTCTATTCGCAAGGAATCTTGGTCTTTTGAGTAGAGAAACTTCTCGGCGCATACAAAAACCCACGTGCAGTATACCGGAAGTAAACATGGCGAGACGCAGCACAGCATACTTTTGGAGCGAGGTCAGTAACGTTACCAGCACCAAAGCGCAAACAAAGGCGATCGCTATCTGCCCCGAACTATTCATTATCATAGACAGTATAAGAAGTGGACAGAGCCATCTCATTGGAACTCTTGATTTTTGAGCACTTCCGTTCCTGACGCGCAGACTCAAACCGACTCAAACTAAGCTTGATGACGTGAGCAACCTGTCTGACAGACGTTAATCTTCTAGTAGCTGTGCGTGAAAATTGCCAACGTTAATCTTGCAGAGACGGGGAACTTGAGCAAAGAGTTATTTGGCGTGAGTGAGCAGGAGTAAGTATTCCGTTGCTTTTATGGACTCATTATCTATGGGCTTCTCCCTTGACGGGACGTCCCCCCGATTGCCTGCGAGCTTCTCCTCCTGTCTGTACGGTAATTTCTGTACAGCGCGACAGAGAGTCGAGTGGTTATGACGCAATCGTTAGCCTATTTTTACAAAATCTGTTTCTACGGGGCCATAATGTAACATAGAAGGTAATGGAGCCCTTTATACATTGTCGTGTTTCTTTAGAAATAAATAATGGACAAATGGAGTCTTTAAACGCCTCAGTTGTAAAGTTATTCGCTGTCAAAGTGACGCCAAAATGAATGGGAGTCAATGGAAATGCTAACGCAAGTAAAGTTCTGCTACAACATGGCGGCACCCAGCCGGCTTCAACTTCCGGTCGATGGATTACCCCCTTGTTCATTATCCGCATGCTGCTGTTGTTGTTGTCTTTGGATACAGGAAGAATCGGAAATGACGCAATAATTGCCCGTACGTCTAGACACTAACCGCGCGTCGCGTTTACATCGGGATATTGCAATTCCATGTATACAGGAGTAACTCTCTCTGCTCACGCAAACGGGTTATCCCTAATGTTTCAGAAACCCGAATAGTGACCCTAACCCGACCATAACCCGAAAATTGGCTGCATGTAAACGTAGTCAATGTTCTTCCACAAGACGCATGCAGTTTTGTTTATTAACTGCTAGAGCGTTGATTCATCCAGTAATGAAACAATTGAAGTCTTTGAATCAATCATTCAAACCGATTTTAAAAATATTCTGTTCTACACACATCTTTGTTCAAGCATATTCTACATAGGGATGGCTGCCGCGAAACAGTTGTTCCGAAGCTTTGCGAGATCCCGAAGCGCAGATGTTTCGAAACACTGATTCGAAGCGTGATTCAAAACACCCATATCACGTGACTATGGCCAAACGAAGCCTCGAAGTGTTTCACAGTGTTTCATCAGGTGTGATCCGCCGAATCAGCGTTTGATTGACACGGTCGGGAACAACAGACCACACAATCGCACATCTGTATAAAAGTGAAATCAACGCATATTGACCTCGTGGGTTTTTGTGAGAGGAGTTTGATTTTGAGATAGCGGATTTTTGGTGATATAGTGACATTTATTGTGCGATTTGTTTAGTTATATTTAGGCTTAAATGTACACAACACATTGACTAACAGGCTAGAGACACAGAGTATACATATAGTGACACATTAATAGATACATAGATATAAATATATATAGACAGCTAGATTAATAGATATATAGATACAGATAGATTAAAGATAGGCTACATAATATAAATACATAGATAGATTATAGATACATTTATAGATACATATCTAAATACATAGATTATAGATAGCCTACATAGATTATAGATACATATCTAAATACATAGATTATAGATACATATTATATATACATATCTAAATACATAGATAGATTGTAGATACATATATCTAATTACATAGATAGATTAGAGATACATATCTAGATAGATTTGGATATATAGATAAAATGGAGGCTCCCCAGAAGAGATGCCGTACATCTGTGGTGTGGGAGCATTTCCATTTAGAAACCCCAAATAAAGTGAGATGTGTGTATTGTGATCGCAGCTCGCCTACTGCAACAATACATCATCCAGTAGAAACACAGGACAGTTTATGGGAACTTTTTGATACTCGTATCCATCAAACCCAGATGATACACAATGCTACAGCTGATGCCACAGTGGAAGTGAAAAAATACATCAACGATGCGTATTTGCCCAGAACTCATGATCCACTAACTTACTGGAAAGAGAGAGCAGTAATCTTTCCTCATTTGTATGTATTAGCTAAAAGATATCTTTGCATGCCAGCAACAAGTGTCCCTTGTGAGAGGATTTTTTTCAAAGGCTGGAGAAATTATCTGTAAAAAAAGAAGTAGGCTAAGTCCTTCCACAGCAGAGAAATTAATATTTTTGAATAAAAATATGTAAAAAAAGTGAGACATTGTGGCTTGATTTATTTTATTAATATTCATTTCGCAGGACCAAAATAACATTATGCACAGTGAGGGGGCTATAGGTTGCAAGATTCACATATTAGAAAAGTACAATAATAAAAAAACATTTTTTAATGGCTCGTCAAGGTTGTTTCAGATCAACACCTGCAAGTGACCACTAGGTGTCACAGTGGAGACGGGTGTCGGATTGATTCGAAGCCTCGAAACAATATGAACTATTTGGTTCAACTGTTTCATTGCTTCACGAAGCCTCGATCTGCCCATCACTAATTCTACACCTTCTGAGAGGGTATTCTCCACTTCTGGAGATACAATAAGTTAGGAGAGGTCCCAAATTAAACAAAATCCAGGATTTTTTTTACTTCAGAAAAATTTACAAAAAAAAGAAAAAAGCTAAATTTGTTGACATTACCAGTCTGTTTAACTCATTTGACAAGTATAAGAAATAAAGGATTGTGCATTTTTCCCGTACTACTTTTTTCTGTTTTAATCATTTTTATTGAATGGGAACCAGAATCGTTTGGCAGAACCAGAAGTTTGTTACAATTCCCAACCCTAGTCTAGAGTCTCTACACCTTCAACAATTCGTCAGTTTACTCTACAGTATAGTTCAACATGCAATTTTAATAGGTTTTTGGTTTATAATACTCATTGAAAACACCCACATTGCTATTCTCCTCCATGTTCGCTTATGACATATCCTTCCCGTGGCCTCCTGGGAAGGCTGGGATAGAAAAGTATCCGTCTGTGAGCGCTTCAGAATCTGGGCGGCCGCAGTAGAGTAGGCCAACTGAGGATTTCTCACCTACTGTTTTATGAATACTAAGGTTTCAAGACATGCTATTCTTTTCATATACTTTTTTTCCTGCTATATTAAGGAAAAAACGCCATTATAACCTGTTTTCATGTGGGAGAATAAGTAGAAAGACAATTCACGAAAACAAGATTTATTTGGTGAGAAACATCCCATACGAATAAAGCACTGATTTGATCTGTAAAAGTACTTCAGTACGTGTTAGGAAGGGACTCTGACTCTATGGCTACGTTTCATGACAATTATGACCGTTTTCAGCATACACTGGAGGCTTTGGGGAATGGTGGCAGGCTTTGAAACAGGGTTTGTTAGTTTTGCGGCAGGCTTTGGCACAGGCTTTGGCGGTATAACGGCAGCCTCCGGAGGTTTCGTGGCAGGTTTCGATGCAGGCTTTGATGGTTTGGCGGCAGGCTTTGTAGCATGCTTTGCCGGTAGGCTTCGGTGGTTCGGCCGCAGGCTTCGGTGCAGGTTTAGGCTTCGGTGCAGGTTTAGGCTTCTGCGCAGGCTTTGGCGGTTCAGCCCCAGGCTTCCCTGCATGGATAAAGATGGTCAACTTTAGTCAGTCCATTTAGCAGCATTCAGTCTAAGACATACAGCACAAAACACTCAAAGCAGGAATAGCAAGTTTTACTTAGACTGAATTTATTAATTTTGTAAAGCCATCCTGGGCTTTAAACAATGCTATGGGTAGAATTCATGTACTTTTGAATTTAACAAAACTGAAAAGGCAATGAGAAAGCTGCCCAACACACTTTAATAAAAGTAAAACATTACATAAATACCTGTATTTGGAGCCACACACTGATGTCCACATCCATTACTGCAGCATTTCTCAACGTTCGGACAGTCACCATCATAGGCACAGAACTCCACACACGTTCCTGCTCCAGTTATTTTGCTTGGACACTCTCCTGGTTTTGCTGTTATACAGACACATGACAGAGAAACCATATCACTGAATGCTGAAATTCTCATTCACTGTTAAAAAAAAAAGAAAAGAAAAAAGGTTTTTTTTAATAGTTTTGGAAGTTGTCAGCAACCGTAGTACTAGATCAGTCTTTTTACTTCAAAGTGTCATGTTTAGATCAATGCGTTACTTAAGTTTATTATTATTAGAGAAATTTACTAGCAATTTGTGAGTAACAACTTTATACCATTTTTTCAGTGTTTTTTTTTTTTTTGGAAGACCTCTAGCTTCTATTGTAAGTTAAAACTCACTGAAAATAGGTGGCACACACGCATGTCCACAGGGAAATTGACAGCATTTGTGTCCTCCAGTACAGTCTCCATCAGAAGTACATCCTCGACTGGACGGCATGACCGTCAGCGTCGCCGGACACTGACCAGACACTACAGAAGAGGATTCAAGAGTATCATCATCAAGAGTGGAGACCAGGGAGTTGTGTAATAGTTTCAGCATTTGTAAGTCAGAGGTTTTACGATACAAGTCTCAAACGTGAAAATAAATCAAGTAGAATATCATTTAATTACCACTAAACTGTATCAGTTAGTTTCATAGACAAAGAGGGATGTTACAACCTAACCCACTAGGGTGTAAACGTGCAATGCTGATATAGGAGACATTGGACAGTTTATTATTGTAACTAAATGTACTTTTTTTTGTATATATATATATATATATATTTGGGGTGTACTAGAATGTGTTTTCATGCTTGATTGTTCAAAAAACGCATTCTTTTTCAGATATTTTACATTACAGCTCCTCTCGCCCCAGTCTGGTTGAGCGTGTCGTTTTTGATGAAGCCCCTCCTTCCGAAATGTGCTTTGGTTAGCTGGCCCAGGGTTTTATGAATGGCAGCGCTTAGCGAGTGTTCGGGAAATGTCACGCCCCTTCATAGCTGAAAGCTCTAATCAGATGCAAACATTAATGATGCCCGATTCAGACCCTGACAATATTAACAAACAAGAGGATGGTGCTGAACGGATTTCAAGCACGGACTTTGCAAGTACGGATTGCACAGGACGTTTCAGTTTTTTTGTGTAATTTTCTTCTTGGTACGAATACGATGTTGTCCACCATATAATCATATTTATCAGAAAACTATGGTAATCCAAACAGTAAAAAAATCAAAATCATGGATAATTTTCCTAAGGGCAGTGAACAGTCTAACAAAGGCAAGAGCTTACAAAAGCAAACACTACATCATTACTGTAATGTTAGCAGGCTAGCGTAGGCAAAGCTTTGCCCTTCATTTACATCATAGCAACTACATAAAACTTATAATGGGAACTGTTAACAGAGAACTACAAATAAGACACTACAAGTTGTGAGCTTTAAACAGATTGTCCCAACAAAATGGGATTGGCTACATCTTTCAGGAGAAGCTTCTGTACGTATAGCCTGCATTTTTCTATTAATTTATTTTTCCATAAAATGTGCAGCACACAGACAAACGTTGAGGTTATAATGTTCAGGAACAGTGTTAAAAATATCTGCCTTAGGACAAACGTTTTCCGGGGTGTAAATAACAGCGACAACAACTCTTCCTCTTCTGTAAAGCACCCCAACATGGCCTCACCCCCTTTATTGCGTGTTCCCAGGGGAAGGGTTTATGTAAATTTTAGGGTTCGTGATGTCACCATCCCAGGAAAAAGCTTGTTGTAGTCCCTACCAGCCGTTGTTGTAGTCATTAAAAAGCAATTTCTGTAAAAGAAAATATCTCCCTTTGCTTTGAACTTTGAGCATCGTAACTTTGCAGATGTGGTTTATCCTCAAACATCACACACAAACTAAAGTTAAAGGAGCTGTATGTAAGAAATTTATTTCAATTAATCATAAAATGGCCCTGAAATGTCACTAGACATTAAGAAATCATGTACATTTCAAATACTTATATCACTGACAACAGTAGTCTGGCCAGGATATTGTCATTTAAAAAGTGCAGTTGCAGCCCTCAACTGATGTTGATGTTGTCATGTTGTGTTTTGGTCTGATGCTCCACCCTCCACCTATCTACCAATCACGAAGTCAGTAGTGTTGCGGCATCCGGGTTGCCAGCTCTGCTCTAGTTACCACAGCTGCAGCTCGTCACGTTCCTGCTGGATCCTGCAGCCGATCTGGCAACCTCGAGTCAGGGAGGAGGGGGAGGGGATACACCACTCTACAGTAATTTGACAGTGATTGCAGTACTAGTTTTGGCCACAATCTTACATACAGCTCCTTTAAAAAAAAAAAAGTTAAATACTAATCAAGGACCCCTTTACGGCATTTCTTCGAGCTTCATAATAAAGTTACACGATCTTCTCACCTTTGACTTCGGCATCTGTTGTACTCAAGCATGCAGACAGACACAATACAACAGCACTCAAGGTGCAGTACACTCGAGCTGTCATCCTCTTGACCTGAGATCTCACAATGAACTCTGCTGGAAGATGCGCTGAAACACTGTGGCAAACAAAACTACAATGAAAAAGCGTGCTGCAGCCTCAAATCACCTGCTCAATCCCACAACACAAATTGCTGTAAAAATGGTTTAGAGCGCTTTTAAAGATCCAAGGGGGTGTGGGCAGGGCATCTCCGACCCTGATGAAACTCACCTGCCTGTATTTCTAATAGCCTAACCTTGAAGACCTTGATTAGTAGGCTAAGTTCAGGTGTGTTTGATTAGGGTTGGAAGAGCTACGTTCAGGCCGTATGTTTGCCAAGCAAGGTTTATTTATATAGCACATTTTCATACACTATGGTAATTCAAAGTGCTTTACACAGAAAGGAATTAAAATAATCACAAATTAAAAGCAAGGGAAATTAAAACAGTTATAAAAGGAATGAAAAGAGATAAAAAGATGACACAGTTATAAAAGGATTTAAAAGAGTAAAAAGATGATACACAGATAAACTTCTCATCTGGCAAAACACCGGTGTATCACATTTTTCACAGCTCCCAGTTTTACTCGTGGTGATTAAATCAATTGAACGTCTCCAATAGACCCGATTTTTCCCTAAAATCGCACAGGGGGAGCTCTAGGACTGACTCACTGGATAACCTCGGGTTCACTGCCCCACCAGTCCGCACCCCCAAAGATTTGTTCGGAAGCTCTAGGAATGGAATCGATCCAGTCCGCACCCCACAGAACCTTGAGTTTAATTACATGTCAAACTCACTTCTCCACCACAGACCCAGGTCATCAGCATGGTTTCATCTCTCAATTTCCCCAATTAAGTAATTTATGCGTGTCTCTTAAATTCTCAGTGCCATTTGAGTTCAGTTTAGAATCAAAAGGAGGATGCAAAAATCAAATACAGTGTAGTCAGTCGGTCGTACAGTGGCACAGTACTCATTCAGTAAATGCACAGCTGTTTTGAGTCTGGATTTGAATGTGACTACTGTAGGCGCACATCTGATCTCCTCTGGAAGCTGGTTCCAGCTGCAGCGGGCACAGTAGCTAAAAGCGGACTCGCCTTGCTTAGAGTGAACCCTCGGTATTTCTAGCTGATGTGAACCTAATGATCTGAGTGATCTGTTAGGTTTATATTCAGTGAGCATATCTGCAATGTATTGAGGTCCTAGGCCATTGAGTGATTTAATACCAGTAATAATACTTTAAAATCAATCCCAAATGTAACTGGGAGCCAGTGTAAAGACCTGAGGACTGGTGTGATTTGTTCAAATGTTCTGATTCTGTTCAGAGTCCTGGCAGCAGCGTTCTGTATGAGCTGCAACTGTCTTATGGTCTTTTTAGGAAGGCCAGTGAGGAGTCCATTACAATAATCCACCCTGCTGGTAATTTTCTTAGTCTTGTCTGGAAACAAAGCATCTAATTCTTGCAATATTTTTCGAGATTCCTGACTTGATTTTTAGTTGTTTGACCCCTAGCGTCAAGGTATGCGTTCACCTTGAGAACTTCATCTTTGTTTCCAAACACAATGACGTCGGTTTTTTCTTTGTCTAACTGAAGAAAGTTTTGGCACATACAACTGTTTACTTCATCAGTGCATTGGCACAGGGAGTCAATGGGGCTGTAGTCATCAGGCGATAGGGCTAAGTAGAGCTGTGTGTCGTCTGCAAAGTTCTTTCTCATTATTTGGCTCAGTGGGAGCATACAGGTTGAACAGGAGTGGCGCAAGAATTGAGCCTTGAGGGACTCTGCATGTCATGGATGTCCACTCAGACTTATGGTCTCCTATACTCACATAATAACCTCTCCCTTCTAAGTATGACCTGAACCATTTTAGGACTATCCTAAGCCCGAGCCAGTTTTCCAGCTTGTTAAGATGTTGTGATCGACAGTGTCAAATGCAGCACTGAGGTCGAGTAGTAGAATGGATGTTTTGCCTGTATGTATCAGTATTTAAACGAATATCGTTTATTATCTTTATGAGCGCTGTCTCTGTGCTGTGATGTGGTTGGAAACCAGATTGGAAATTGTCCAAGTATCCATTTGAGCTTAAGAATTTGTTCAGCTTATTGAAGACAACTATTTCAATGATCTTGCCTATGAAAGGAAGATTTGAGATTGGTCTGTTATTGCTCAATATGTTGCTATCCAGAGTGCTCTTTTTCAGGAGGGTCTTGACAACTGCAGTTTTAAGGTGACTTTGGAAAAGTCCCACAGAGAAGTGAGGAATTTACCACTTCTGAGATCCGGTTGCAGTCTCTTTTTTTCTGTAGCCACTCCGAAGTCCGAAGTCTTTTGCATTTTACAACAGGTGAATCTCCAGTGAATGTCGTTTGAACCTTTCTGGATCCGCCATCAAATTAATAAGTTTAATTATATCAAGTTCTGTGAGAAAAGGCTATAAATCTCCACCTACAACATCCTCACACGCAATATAGCCTACTAGCCGAGACTCCTTTATGTGTACAGATGTGACGTAATGACGCAAAAACATGCTCGAATCTCCTGCGGAAATCCACCAGTACCACTGGAATTAAAAACATTATTACAAGCTTACCGTTTTGAATCGAGCTAAGGCAAGCAGATAGTTTTAAACACTGGCTGGTTATGTACTTGCTCAAAAATGTATTTTGGATCATTTTTAACCCAAAAAAGTTACAGACTGCAGCTTTAAACATTTTATTAACCAATCCTCGATGGAAACTGTTGTCATCCGCCATTTTGTCTAAGAATTGTATAATAAAGGTCCTGCATCTTTGGGACATTTTAAACTGCTTTATACAGACACAAAGGTATATAAAATAAAAATAAACAACACGAGTTGTTGTGACACGAGTAAACCTGCAGCAACACAGAAAGCAAAATCCATACATAACAAAATGTACTAATCAATGTCATTAATGCCAGTTAAACTTTTATTAACTTACAATCTTTTTCAAATCAGCCTTCACCTTCACTGGGTCTGCATTGATTCAGAAACTTTGTGTATAATTCCATTGTTCTTCACGCATGTCTTTTCAAAATATATAATAAATAAATTCAGACGAGCAGTTTACGGTTCTCTGTCTTTATTGAACATTGCACTTTAGTTGGTCCGTTTTGCAACATGATTCAATTAAAATCACAGTGCTACATACATGCATGCTGGAGACCTTTTACCATATGAATGCATCCAGATATTATTTAATAATCCCTGAAGTAATTCATCCAGTAGCTTTACTTTCCGTGACAACAAAAGCAGACTACTGTTGTTAGCACTAAGCATTAGGCAGGGAGGGGCTGACTCTGGTGAGAGGGAGGAGTAAATTTAGTCTCACATCACACAACAGTAGGTACAATTCAGATATCTTAAAATATAATTGTGACTAGTCGAAACTGACTTAGAGAAATCTTTAATTACCTTTGCGTATGTGTGTTTGAAGTATCCACGTCAATTGAAGATATCTATGATTTCATTACAGATATCTTAAATGGAGTTTTGACTACTCAAAGTATTTAGGGATATCTCGAATCAGATTTCTTACTAGTGCAATTATAATTGCAGATATCTCTAATTATCATTTTTGACTAGTCAAATTAGAAATACGACTCGTCAAAATACAATTGTAACTATCCAAAATATATTTATGGATAGTCAAAGCGTAGTTTTATATGCCAAAACGGCTTGCCATACCAATGGAAAATATGACTAGTCAAAAAAAGCATTGTAGACATCTTGAATGTATATTATGACTGTCAAAATAACATTGTAGATATCTTCAATGAAAAAATTACTAGTCATAATCTTAATTCCAATTACAACGAGTCAAAATTGCAGAATAGATATCTGGAATTGGAATGTTGATTATAGTCAAAACTAAATTACTACTAAAGCCAGGGGTATTTCATGCTTAAACGGCTTGCCATACACTCAATATTCTTTGGCTACTAGTGGTCTCTAATATATCTGATATTATTAATCAATTTCCTTTTTACATTATCTTTAAAAACAAATATATTCTGAAGCATTGCAATAATAGGTTGACAGTCCTGCTTTACCATATTAACAGTCACCACCGTATAACAACTGCTGTTCAATAAAAGAGAAATGTCCAGTTTTAAAAAGCATTGTCAAACACTGAAGTACTGACAATCTTAGCACTTAAGATAGCTGCTTTTAATATTAGCATGTAACTGGTACAATATACTAAAGACATACATATTTGGATTATAGATACAAAGATCCCTTGTGAAAAGACAGGTTTAAATGGACCACCCTTTGCAGCTCCACAGTTTGTTTTGTAAAAGAAATGGATGATGAAATACTGAGCTGTTACTCATGACTTTTTTCTCAAGGCACGTGTGTAATGAGTTAATGCAGAAGTCAAATTTACTGCAATAAACACTATAAGACAGTCAAACTGAGCAGCGCTTTAGTTTTAGGAAAGTGTTATGGCAATAATTACGTTATTTCAATTTATCCAATTCCTAAATTGCACCAATGACAAAATCGAGCATATGTGTGCTCCCTTGACACAAAGAGGTGATCCTAAGTGATTGTGCATGTATTTTCAGGCAGTGTTGTATGATCATTCTTTCTTTTTTTATTATTAGTTATTGGCTCCACCTGATGGTGACTCAGTGAAGTATTTCTATTAGGAGGCGCTTGAAGTCACCGCCACACTCTGAGCTCAGGGCATCCTTTAGGGTAACATCATATTTCTCCAAGTACATGTCCTTGATGGTCTCCAAATCCACCTAGAGGTGAATGTGAAAAGCAAAATATTATTATTATTTCCAGCATTTCCATGAAAAGTGTCTTTGTATTCATCGAGTTATCAAATCCAGAATTATGTCTACCTCAGAGCGTCCCACAATAACACGTATGAGCGTGTCCTCGTCTGTCCCAGCTCCTTTCATCGCAGCGTTCAGACGACGGGCGAAATATAGCTGCGGATTTTTGGCACATCGCACTGTTCAAACAAAAACAAATCACAGTGTGATGCGTGTTGCGAGCAGAAAAGGCTATCAAATAGCTTAATCCTTTCAAAGTAGCTTAGGGTCACTACTTTGAACTGCAACATGACTCTTTGATTCAAAAGAAGGAACACATTTCCTAAAGGCTTTTGCAGAGTTTGGATGGTTATAGTTACCCAGAGTAATGTAACAGTCCTTTAATGTTCCTGTAGCCTCACTGTCTATAGCATCCAGGATATCTGTTCCAGAGAGCTATGAAAAAACAAACAAAAGAGAAACCAGAAACTCAGAAAGAATGTCGAAACAGTTGTTGTAAAGCAGCGTAGACATAGCTGGTGTTTGACCTTACAGTTTCATATATCTTGAAGGTGGCCTGAAGCTGTAGGTAGTTCCTATGAGCGAGGATGTAGCTGAAAGTGGACTCATCTGTTCCAAAACGTCCTTCACCTGCCTGTTGAAAACCAAACCAACAGCATAGTCATTCATTCATTGATTCACGCAACAAAATAACTGGGGTTGCCAGGTCTGTTTGACAAAGATAATCAAACAATTAATCAAATATAGTCCAAAACCAGCCAAATACCACAACACAAAATATGCTATACTCTCAGAAAAAAAAGGAACAAGAGCTGTAACTGGGATGGTGCCCTTTCAGAAACCACTAACATGTACACTTTAGGTACTGAAATGTACCTTTAAGGTACTTCTATGCACCCTTAAGGAGTGCAAAGGGATACCGCCCCAGTGACAGCTTTTGTACCTTTTTTTTTCTGAGAAATTTTTCTGAGTGCCTATTAGACATTTTTGGATTTCCTTTGATTTGAAGCCGTACAATGCAAGTAGCAGCAGTGAACATCTGCAAAGTTTAAAATGTCAAGTTCACAAACAAAAAAATTATCCTGAAAATTTCAATGTCATCATTGCAAGATGTAGTACAGTGTTATTTTAGTATTATTTATTATAGTTTTTATTAATAGAGCTTGTATTTTTGATATTTTTAGTATTTAATTTTATTTCGTTTAAGTTTCAGTAATTTGTTATTTTTATTAGTATTAGTTTTAATAGTGTTAGATGATTTTTATTAGTTTTATAAGTAACCAACCACAATTTTATTAAGTTGTTTTTCTTTAAAATATTCCTATTTAGATTTAATTTATTTTTATTTCAGTTTTAATTTGAGTAATTTTAGTACTTAGACATAAACGTATTTATCTCGGTTAGTTGTAGTTTAAGTTTTTCATCCAATATTTATATTTTATTTTAGCTTTATTTCAATGATCAAAATAATTTTGAATCGTTTTAGTTAGCGATACCAATACTGATAGTATACACAAAGTAAGGCGGGACTAAGGCAGTACAGGCTTAAGGGAGTTAAATGGATAATATAATAATATAACATAACATAATATAATCCTCATGTGGAAACCTTTTATAAGAATGCCAATTATGCGTGAACATCATGGACTTGGCAACCCAAAAATAAAGTTATAAACTACTTAAATCCAGAGATTTAAATATCAGAATTATCCTCACCTCAAACAATGATGTTGCATCCTGTTCTGCCAAAGTTTCATCCACCTCATAAGACTCATCCCTGCTGGCCTGCAGGTGAAGGTCAGTTGTTCATAGCAAATAACACCAAAAAACCTTGGTAGATTCAATTGATACATTGATACTGCACTATGCAATTGATACGGCACTATACACTGCAGATCCAGCATGCAAATACAAACTTTAGGAATGGAATTCTGCACCATCAAAGACTATAGAATAACACTTAATTCTTAAAGGGACTTTGGCACCATTCATGTTCCACTTCCAGTGAACAAAAGCCTTGATCGTTTTATTCAGTGGCGATGGAATGCAAGTCTTCATGTCTACCACAGGCTGCGTCCGAAAGCTTAAAAATTGGCTTTTGAGGCTGCATTCAAAGGTAGGCATCGAGGCACTTCTAAATCCAATGTTAGCTTCACTTCCTGTCTCCTGAGATGCCTTCATCTTATTGGTTTAGCATAGATGTATCCTTCGCTGCCTTTGATATCCCACAATCCTGTGCGTTCCATGCGATGACAGTTAAGCTAAATATAAAAAAATGGCGTCTGAAAGATGTGGTTGGTGGTTAGCTTGAGTGTTTAACCATCATTTTCCACTTTTGATTGGTTATTAAATATTTGCTTAATTATCACCAAAGCTCTCTCTATTTTGCTGTAGATCATTAAACCGTTACGCTGCCTCAGAGGTCTCTCTGAAATCACTTTCATAAGGTGCCTTCGTATGCAAACGCTGCTTGCTAATTCACTCCCTTATAGGGCAGCTGCATAAGCTTTCGGACACAGCCATAGTCTTGTTATGCTTATAAAGTAATTTATTATGGAAAATGTTTTATTAAATTAGGAAAATGTGTGGCCTCAGAGCCCTCTGAACATGTGGGAAAAAAAGTGTTGGAAAATACAAGTATCCACCCCATTTGTGCACTTCTACCTTCTTCCTATCAGTACAAATCATTGCTAAATACTGTAAGTATCAAACTTACTGGACATGAACTCATTAGTATATTCGTATTTTACCTCTAGGAGAGAAACCAGAAGATTCCTCACTTCTCCACTAGTGTCATCTTCAATATCAGCCTCCAGATCCCTCTCATTCACTGGAGATCAAAAGATCTGTTACATGACTATAATAATGCATTATTTTATTACTAGTAATAATATTAGCATCACAGCAATAAGCACTTCATAGTATCAATAATGAGTCAACAATAAAATCATGTCTCTTTATATTTCATTACATCACAAAATCATTTGTATCTGATTAAAGGTTACCTTGCGCATATGCCTCTTTGCAATTCAAAATATCCTGTTAAAGAAAAAATATATATTGTGGAAGTAATGGTTACAATCAAGTAATGATTTTTTTTTTTCAGCTATGTTTGATGCTTGAAATTCGTGTGACTGTTCTCCCAATCTAATAATGTAAATTATAACCACAGATGTGAATTAGAACCTGATTGGTGCAGGTGCAGAGGATCTCCACCAGCACGTCCTCATCTGTCCCAGCACCCTTCATGGCTCTCCTCAATTCTTTAGCCATGAAGATGTTGGGCGGGTCCAGCATGGCTATAATTGCGTTCTCAAAGTTTCCTGTGAGTTCATTCTTCAAGACTTCCTTCAACTCCTTTCCAATGTGGCCAGAGACCGAAAGAACAAACCAGAAACAGACTCAAATAGATGTATGTTGGTTCAGTCTATCAATGAATTATGATATGAAGTAAAAGTTATTCATTAAAAATACTTTTAACTAAAAAACGTAGTTCTCATTACTTTTGTTACAATGCTGGTTCTGAACATTTTAGTCGATTTAGAGAAGGGATATGAAGAACAACTATGGTTCAATACAACATTCCAGCTTTCCATGAGCTCTGCACATTTATTATTAAAAGGGTGAAAGCATAATGGTAGAAACTACTCCAGTTACCCAAATGCAGTCTAAATCAATGTGATGCTGGGAGAGGAAAATTAGAAACCACAGGTCTATGGCTTCTGTCATATGAGATTAGTGTGTTTGTTCTTATAAGCCACTTTAAAGGCAGGGTAGGCGATTTGTTGCAGACGCATTTTTTGTTTATATTAATTTATTACTGTAGTGTTATGTGCTTTGAGACATGAGGTAGTTTAACGCCGTCTCTCGTGTTGCTTTTGTTTGCTCCCTGCTGTGCGTGTTCATGTGTTTTGAAGGAGCGTTTTGTTGGAGACGCTCTGAAGGGAGGGTGGGATCTTATGCTTTCAAAGCTAGCTCGCAAGTGCTAGCCTCTTCAAAAATTGCCTACCCCACCTTTAAATTTAGACAAACTATATTTACGCCATATTAGATCAGCATAAATATGGTACTTTTCACAAAAACAGAAAACACAATTATATAAATAAAGGATGTACTTGCGTTTGTCAATAAACATTTCAAAGATCTGACTCACATCGTCATATTTTTCAAAGTAGGCTTGTTTAATCTCCATTCGCTGGAATGCAGAGCGGTTTGCTAGAATGGAAATGATGGTCTCTTCATCCGTCCCTGTGAACAATAGGAGATGAGCTAATACCTCATAATGTCAGTTATTCCTCATCAGATTTAGGGTACGTTTACACGGCAACGATGTACTAAACATGGAAAAGTTTTTCCTTTGTGTTAAAAATAAATAAATTGCATACAGGCAACAATGTTGTCAAAAACGATCCCCGTTCACACGGATCCGCGAAAACGACTAAAACTGCTGTATTATGCATGCCAGGCCAGTAGTTGGCGATGTCATGGTGTTGTGTAAACACCCCCTAAGAGCCCCACAACTCACAGGCTAAAAAAACTCTTCCTTTTTTTTTTACACGACACCGTTTTCAACTAAATATGGAAACTTTTTATGCGTTTTGGTCAGCCATTTACACGACAACGGCATTTTTGGGGCCTGAAAATGCAAATGTTTGAAAACAGGTTTCAAAGTGCAAGTTTTTGAATATGACACCGTTATCGTCTAAAAAAAACGAATTCGTGAAAACGGTGCATTCATGCGTACGCGTGTCACGTGTTCAGTCTATAGGCGCATATTGTTTCTTTACAAAGTGACCTCGCCATCTACTGGCCTAGCATGAATAATATCGTTTTCGTGGATCTGTGTGAACGGGGATCGTTTTGACAATGTCTGTGCGTGAAACTTTTCAACAACGCAAAGGAATAACGTTTCCGTTTTTAGTACATCATTGTCATGCAAACGTACCCTTATTTAAAATGCTTAAAGTCAGCATGAAACGATAGTTGTGATTGTCTTTACTTCCTTGTGACGTATATCCGAGTGAAACCTCTTCTTGGACAAGAAAAATGGAGGGTGGGCTCTACTGAGTGCTTGTTTGTTTGTGCTCCATAACTGAAACTGCATGTACTTAAATCTTACATTTAACATTTAAATGGTCTTAGTTTATTTTTATTTTTTTTACTTTTTTTTCTTCTTTTCTACCCCATTTTATATTATTATTAGTAATATATTATTGATGATATTAAAGGTGCTCTATGTAACTTTTCTACTAAAATGAATCCTTTTTTTATTGCCTGTGTGTGAAGGCGTTGTAATCACACATTAAAATGATCCACTTGTCGAGTTTTGCTATTACCTCTGAAGGCCAGTATTCCTATTTCTGTGTGAAGTCTCCGGGTCGGATTTACCGCGAATCTCCAACGGATGTGACGTGCATGCGCGCTCCCGAGCCTCTCTTCTCCTTATATACAGTCTATTGTAGACGGTCAGGCAGTTACGTCCGGTTAAAGGCGCACGTTTTTCGGCTTATATCTCAGTCAATCTTTGATCAATATTCCCAAGACTCTAATCGTTCGTAGTGCTGGACGGGGCCTTTCGAACGAGCCCACCCCCGAGGTCCAACTCGCCCGGCTCCCCGAGTTATAGCCGTTCGAAATCGGGGGTCCCAGCGAACGGCGATCCGGTAGGGGGCATCCCCGAGGCCCGCCCCTGGGACCTCCTCCCCCGAATTTGAGCTCTCTGGGTCTTTGCGTTCCAGAGATACGAGCGATTTTCTTCTGAGATCGTGACGTCACCGGCGTCCGCAATTTTGCAGCGCGCCCGATGGTTTTCTGCTAATATCTCCGCGAAAACAACACCAAAAACTATGGTGCTGGTTCTTTTCAGCTCGACTAGATGGTCCCAACCACAGGTCCCAACGCTGAAGTAAAGTTGGTAGCAAATTCTGTGTCATACAGACTTTAAAAGTGCTACATCATATTTCATCATATTCCAAGTTTAAAAAAAGCAAACACCATTTATGTCAGTATTTTCCAACAGTGATTATTTTTATTTAACCTACCCATTCCTTTGCAGGCCTTACGGATTGTCTTGATGTCTGCCATCACATCAAAGTCTTCAAACGGAGTTATTGTGGGCTGAAATGAAGGTTGTGTAAGAAAACTCGTGTGTAATGCAATTAGACAATATCGCAGTTTTAAATAAAATTTACAGATTTTGAAATGGGTTAAACAAATCATTCATTTTAAATTGTACAAAGATGTGGTCAGGGACCCATCAGGATGTTTTTCAAGGGTTTGTAGATTAGATCGCAATGCAGTAGCCTAGTCTGTGTGGGGAGGGGTTCTGTGTCTAACACACACAGCTGAGTCATGGGATCTCTGGGAAAGGACAGGAACAGAGTAAGCCTTCCTCTGCCTCGCCCACTGCCATAACAACAATGTGCACTCATCGAAAACAAAACAGTTATTCTTTGATAAACATTCTTCTTCTTATGACAAGAGTATAAACTACTGCTCAAATCACAGTAAAATACAACATTAGGCTAGGCTAATAGTAACGCCGGTAAATATAAAATGAATATATGGGAAACAATGACTTAACATTTTAAAAGCATATTAAGTTTAGTATGTTAATAATAAAACATGTTGGAAAACTGTTAAAGCATCAAAACAAAACATCGAAGTGTCACGCGAGAAACTCATTTGCGCATAAACACATTTTTTTAGTCTACGCAATATGTTACATACGTAGCAACCTAATACCAATAAATATCGTTATCTGTAGTAAAAGAAACAGAGAAAAGTGCGAAAAAGAAACTTCACTGTTTTACTCACTTGAACGTTGCCCATCTTGTGATGCTGCTGATGTGAGTCTCTGATTGAAGTGCGTGCTCGCTCTCTCTCTCCACTCGGCCAGAGCATCTTTTTACTCTATCGCATCCCTGACGTCACTGCTGGTGACGTCATCAAATATAAAAGAAAAAAAAATCAGATTTTTCTGTTCTTTTTTGTCATTAAACATAATGCTAAACAGAAATGCGTAATATATAGTTTAGTTTTGGCTTCATGTTTTATGTTACAGTCATGTTTCCTGTCTTGTCATGTGATTCCCTTGCCCTCATGTGATCATGCCATGTGCTTCCCTATTAGTCTCTTGTGTCATGTTGTCATTGGTTAATTGTCTTGCTTATGTTCACAGGTGTGTCTTGTTTAGTCACTAGTCCTTGGGTGTTTCTCAATACCAAGTACGGAAGGGTCTCAAAGGTAAATGTAGAAGAGATGAAGTGTTATTTTCAAGATTAAGGTTTGGGCATACAGGGTTAAAAATCAACGCTATTTTTAATGGCAAAATGTCTGTCTGATAAATGTGAGGTTTGTAATGTGCCTGAAAATGTCGAGCATGTCATCATGAAGTGTAGCAAATATGATGCTGAGAGGAACATCTTACGTGACAAGATATATGAATTAGGACGGGGATGGAATTTAGAAGGTATTTTAGGGATGAGTGAAGAAACAAGGGAGTATGTATGTATGTAAGTATGTAAATATCTTAAATATACACGATTAGATCATATCATATCATATCATATATATATATATATATATATATATATATATATATATATATTATTAAATACCAAGTACTAAAACCTTGAAATTACACACTCTGGTACAGTAGGTGGTGGTATGCACCTGAACAAAGCTGGTTGCGACCCCTAGAGAAGAAGAAGAATACCAAGTGCGCAAACTTTACTTCGGTAATTCTGCAAATGGATCAGCGGCGTTCAGCTCGCTCTGATACTCTGGTTATCTCTTTATGTATATTTTAGCCAATAAATAAATGTCAACAAATTGTATTAGTCAATAAAATGAAACGTGTTATAAAACACCGCTCTGCCTCTTTTCATTTTTATTTAAAAAGATCTTAAACATATTAATAGCCACACAAATGTGGTTCAGGCAGTGGTTCGTAGCCTACATTGATTATCTTCACAGCATGTATATTTATAACAAAAAGAGACAGGGTTGTGTCATTTTATTTTATAATACATGTACGTTCGGTGGATATGTAGCTACTCTGATTCTCTTCACTGCACATGTAGCCTAAAATAAAATGACACAACCCTGTCTCTTTTTGTTAAATGTCATTTGTAACGATCAATAATAGCCAATATAAAAGTATTAGTAGCCTAAAAGGTATAAGAAGTTATACAATAAGAAATAAAGCAAATGATTCAGTCAAACGTAAGTCAGCTCTCTAGTAGGCTACAACATTAAAGTTAAATAGCCTAAATATATAAAGTTATAAAACTTCCATTTGCCCTCAGCCAAAATGATTTGCCAGGGAACAAATTTTAGATTAATGAAACCAAAGATTGCCCGTTAGATATACACAGGACAAATTATATCTCATGTTTAACTACCGAGAAATCAGAGCCAGCGGCAAACATCAGAAGAACTAGCCGAGGCAAGGCTGTTCCAGTAGAGGTTAATGAGTGCTGAGCGCCTGGTGATTGATCTCACAATTCCGAAACCGTTAGATACAATTTTCAAATAGGCGCTATCTTTATAAATAAACCACAGATTTTAGCTTTAAACAGCTACATTCTCGAAAAACTCTTAAAACTACATTTCTAGACACAATAATTAAATTACGCAGGTTTTCTCCTTCGCTATTGACGCTTGCTGGTTGGTACGAGAAGCATTCTGGGATACCTGGCTGTCTCAAGTCCGCACAAGTCACCTCTCGATGCATCCTCGATAAAAGGGGCGGATCAAGAACACATCCAGGGATTTGAACTGAACTTGGCTAGATGTGAACTTTGAACTGGAACAGTACTTGGGCAGCGACTGATGACGTTTCACAAGTCCACAAGAATAAAAGTATGCCTGACAATACACCTCACTGGACTCTAAAGCCCCGTTCACACTACACGCGACCAAGCGACCCGATACCATTCATTTCAATGGTGAGCGGGCGACTTCCGGCGACACGCGCGACAGCGACCGTTGGCGACTAGATGGGGCGTGCTGGCGACGCGACAAAGTTGAGAAATTTTTAACTTTATGCAAATGAAGAGTGATTTTCGCGAGCGACAACCAATAGGAGTGGAGCGCACGTGATCCTTCTCCTCAGCCCCTGGGCCTGCAGTGATGGATGAAAAATTGATCCTTGCGGTTAGCAATTTTCCAGTTTTATTTGATATGTAGTGGGAACGCCCACTAGCGACCTCATCGCCAGCGACTGGCGACTTGCAGCGACAAAGTCGCGTGTAGTGTGAACGGGGCTTAAGTCAATATATTGACCATGCCCTTCTGTTGAGCGGCTCATCATTTACTGTGGGTTTTGCAGGTGAGGAGCCCCGCAATTCCAGAGTACCTGCCAAGCCAGGGGCTGTTCACGTCATGTCTGCCAAGCCTGAGTTTCTTCACGTCATGAAAGCCTGAGTTCCTTGAAGTCATGCCTGCCAAGCCTGAGTTTATTCACGTCATGAAAGCCTGAGTTTCTTCACATCATGTCTGCCAAGCCTGAGTTTCTTCACGTCATGCCTACCGAGCCTGAGCTTCTTCATGTCATGTCTGCCAAGCCTGAGTTTCTTCAAGTCATGTCTGCCAAGCCTGAGTTTCTTCGTGTCATGCCTGCCAAGCCTGGGTCTCTTCAAGTCATGTCTGCCAAGCCTGGGTCTCTTCAAGTCATGTCTGCCAAGCCTGCGTCTCTTCACGTCATGTCTGCCAAGCCTGAGTCTCTTCCTTGTCATGTCTGCCGAGCCTGAGTCTCTTCACGTCATGTCTGCCAAGCCTGAGTCTCTTCAAGTCATGTCTGCCAAGCCTGAGTCTCTTCAAGTCATGTCTGCCAAGCCTGAGTCTCTTCAAGTCATGTCTGCCAAGCCTGAGTCTCTTCAAGTCATGTCTGCCAAGCCTGAGTCTCTTCAAGTCATGTCTGCCAAGCCTGAGTCTCTTCACGTCATGTCTGCCAAGCCTGAGTCTCTTCAAGTCATGTCTGCCAAGCCTGAGTCTCTTCAAGTCATGTCTGCCAAGCCTGAGTCTCTTCAAGTCATGTCTGCCAAGCCTGAGTCTCTTCAAGTCATGTCTGCCAAGCCTGAGTCTCTTCACGTCATGTCTGCCAAGCCTGAGTCTCTTCACGTCATGTCTGCCAAGCCTGAGTCTCTTCACGTCATGTCTGCCAAGCCTGAGTTTCTTCAAGTCATGCCTGCCAAGCCTGAGTTTCTTCAAGTCATGCCTGCCAAGCCTGAGTTTCTTCAAGTCATGCCTGCCAAGCCTGAGTTTATTCAAGTCATGCCTGCCAAGCCTGAGTCTCTTCAAGTCATGCCTGCCAAGCCTGAGTCTCTTCACGTCATGTCTGCCAAGCCTGAGTCTCTTCACGTCATGTCTGCCAAGCCTGAGTCTCTTCATGTCATGTCTGCCAAGCCTGAGTCTCTTCACGTCATGTCTGCCAAGCCTGAGTTTCTTCAAGTCATGCCTGCCAAGCCTGAGTTTCTTCAAGTCATGCCTGCCAAGCCTGAGTTTCTTCAAGTCATGTCTGCCAAGCCTGAGTCTCTTCAAGTCATGCCTGCCAAGCCTGAGTCTCTTCACGTCATGTCTGCCAAGCCTGAGTCTCTTCACGTCATGTCTGCCAAGCCTGAGTTTCTTCAAGTCATGTCTGCCAAGCCTGAGTCTCTTCAAGTCATGCCTGCCAAGCCTGAGTTTCTTCACGTCATGACTGACAAGCCTGAGTTTCTTTACGTCATGCCTGCTAAGCCTGAGTTTCTTCAAGTCATGTCTGCCGAGCCTGAGTCTCTTCACGTCATGTCTGCCAAGCCTGAGTTTCTTCACGTCATGTCTGACAAGCCTGAGTCTCTTCACGTCATGTCTGACAAGCCTGAGTCTCTTCACGTCATGTCTGACAAGCCTGAGTTTCTTCACGTCATGTCTACTAAGCCTGAGTTTCTTCACGTCATGCCTGCTGAGCCTGAGTTTCTTCACGTCATGACTGACAAGCCTGAGTTTCTTCATGTCATGGCCGCCACGCCAGAGTCAGCTCCTGAGAGTGCAGTGCTGACCATTATGGCCATGGCCATTTGGTGTGTGTAGGCCGCACACACGTTGTCTCCAGCCCCTGACCAGAGTCCAGAGATGGCTCCAGCCCCTGAGTCCACTCCAGTCCCAGAGCCAGCCCATGAGCCCCTTTCAGAGTCCTCTCCAGCCCATGGGGCCCGCTCCAGACTCTGCTATAGCCCCTGAGCGTAATTCCCCCCAAGAAAATTGGCCCCTTGTTAAGACCATGGAGGCCGCGCCTCTCTTGTCCCCTGAACTGGCCTGGCTTCCTGAACTGCTGGCGCCTCCTTGGAGGTGTCCTAGCCTGCCAGCATCGCCCATGCTGCACAGTCCAAGTCATGTCCCATTTCATGGGCCTGGCCCGCCATCCCTACGCCAAGACCGCCCTCCTGGACTCTCTTGTTTTGTTTTGTTTTTATGTTGGGTGTCAGGAACCGCCCAAAGAGGAGGGGGAGGGGAGGGGGGGGGGGGGGGGGGGGGGGGAACTACACTAGTTCTACATAGCCCGCGAAACCATACAAAACAGCAATGGTTTGTTTACATCTCGCTACCACAATACCTTGCGCTCAGGTAGTTTGGCATGACTGGCTTGGAACGCGACAAAGTCGTGAGTCGTGGTTTGAAGTCGTAATTTACGTGCTCAAAAACCTGCCTGGAACGCAGCATAAGCCCTTATTTTTGCCATGCGTCTTTGTCTAGTATTGTCCCTGTAACTGCTGTGTGGTGAGTTGTTTCTACGTTTATATTAATGATCATGCCAAGTCAAGTCTTTGTTTTGTATTTTGCTCACGTTTGGATATAAATAAACTGCACTCGGGTTCGTCTGCTACTCTGTTCTAGTGGACTCCATTACAAAATGTAACGCAGTGTAAAATAAAACAGTTTAATATA